CGCTGAAGGGCTCTCGCTTCAAGTGGGTTTTTCCATGATGGCATAGTCTTCCTGCCCGTACAAATGTTGTTCACCTATGGCTAACACATAAGTGATATGTTTCGGTCGGTGTTCTTTTTGTATCCAAATTGAGAATTTGGCCCCCAATTAGATTTCAAGTGACCGCCTCGAAACACTCAAATGCTCCCCAAGTCATACAGACTGTATGACTTGCTAGTGTTTTTTGCTGGGCACTGAGTGCCCAGCAAAAAACACTTGCAAAAAAAGTTCAAATAACACTTTCGCGAACACACATAAAACGCATTTTATCAAACTTCTGCACACTAAGAACACAAAAATAACCCAAACCCGTACACTTTGCACACGTTTGAACACATGTTATTTGGCTCCTTTTTCCTATTGACATGGCCGTATGGACCCGAATTGGACGATGAGAAACGACGCCTTTGTACTTCCAGCCTTGGCACCGGTGGTCCCCATAGACGTAAGCCGTAAAACTGGCTGGTGGGCGCCATTGTCCACCGCACTGTGGGCAAGAATGGGTCATCTGTTCGTCGATGGCGGTGCGCCACGAAGTTCATTGCGGAACACGAAGCGATGGGCGACCTGCCACCTTGCCAAGTTGCCGCGCCGTTCGCTTTGCGATGCACCACAAATAAGCCTCTGGTTTTGCCATTGCGCTCATCATGCCACACTCAATTATGTGAGGTTTCCATTGAAGTGCGATGTGCGGGGGCAATTTGTTCCCAATGCCGCGTGCCGTACCATATGTGAGGCAACGATGACGATCCGTCAACTGGCCAGTTGCTCATGTACCATCTGTCCAGTCTGTTATAAGTAATAGACAGTCAGTGATAAATCGCTGTGAGGAGACGTAGAAGCGGCCCAAGTTCGGCCAGCCATCGCCGCTCCTTGCTTAATGAATGGCGCATTCCATCATGACTGGTGATTTCCAAGGATCAGCAAATGGCCAGTGATCGAAATAGCCACACTGTTGAGAGGGGCTGTGACCTGTCCAGAGCTGCTGGAACCTAGTCGTTTGACATGCAAACGGCCGGCTACAAGCTGTCGTTCACAAATTTGGCATATCCAGCGAATATTTATTTATAATTCTGTTTCTGGGAACAGTGGTATATTGTTCAGTACTTTGCAGTACTTGCTTTTACTAAATTATCCTGAAAGTGTATTCTATATATACATATTGACCCGCAACGTCTTAGTGAAAAACAGATGTCCGGCAAAAAGCAAAAGAGCAAAGTCATTCAGACACCTTCTGGTGAGGCTCATCGAAAATAGTGGTTGGTTCCAATATTTGTCCATTCAATCTGTGGACCCCTTGAGCACTAAACCCTGTTTCGACAATAGTACTGTCGACACAAGGGGTCAGCGGGAGCCGCAGGAAGAGTTTGGTGCTGAAACCCGCCGCCTGCGATTGTCGCGCGGTCGATTGGGAATCTGGCTCTGACTCTCTAACTCACGACAACAGAATATCGTATTAAGAATGTAAACCAATGTTGTTCCACGGTACCATATTCAATCCATTTCAAGTGTCAATCTAAAATATCGTAAACGATGGGTGAGAATTGGTGGTCTCATTATGCCAGGTGACTTCAACGTTATGTAAGTCATACGAGTTCCGACTCCCCCTTGGTCGGCATGGAGTCGACTTTTTCCGGAAGATGGAGTCGACGTATTCGAGGACCCGCGCTAACTGCTCGGACGGATGTGGTGACACTTGATTTCAGTACAATTGTACTTGAAGTTGCAACTTCAGGGAAAACCACATGCAACTTCCGCATTTTATATATTCACACACACTGGAGTTCGACTCAACTTTGTGGCCACGCATCCAACCCTTGCATAGACCGATAGCCTGCCGCTGTCATGTCCAAGCCGCGATACCACCATCGATCCTCATGAAACTAGTGTGATTGATCAGTCCCGCACGGTTTGGGAGCGGATGCGAGGGCGCGCAGAGCCCCGTTCCATGATCCATGCTCGCCGCACACTCGCCAGCCGAAGATTCTGATCTTCGGTGATAATCGGTGCTGGGGGCCTGCACATTCCTTGGAGTGCCCAACTTTCGACCTCCAACAAAATTACTGACCATCGATGGCAAGTGCCATGCCACCGTTTGATGTGGTGAGGGCAGCACACTGGCAATCTGACGTTCTCATGTGGGAAAACCACTTGAGACTACGTTCACCTTGGTTGATTATGGTTATGCACGCGTATTTATCCGATGACGTTCACAAAAGCGTGTAAGTACATTGCTGCACAAAGTGCTTTGTGTTGCAATGTGACAACGAAACATGCCCTGCACAGGTACTTGTGGTACTACAGTGTACCGTAGATCACAGAGGATGTGCACACGCCCACCCCGCCCCGCCCCAACCCCGCGCTGAGCATTAAGGCTGGCGTCAAGAACGCAGGGGACATTACCTTACGTGGCCCCCGCCTTCCACATTGAATAGATGAATAAGCAACGCCTCTACGTTGCCGTAATGACCAAGAGATCAATTTAACACATCAAGCACCAATTTCAATAATACGCCTGTCACAGTGAAAATGGGAGAACGTCACTATAACATTTTTGCGACTTTCTGCGCCGCGTCGCTACGTCTTTTGATAGCGAAAGAGGATGCTCCATCATGGGGGATGCATAGATACAATGTCGAGTAATTTTCTACATTTCTCTATCATTTTTCTCTTCTTGGCTTGTTGTTTACGGCTTAAACACTTTTCCATTTACGGCTATTGACACGTAAAAATGGGTTCAAATTTCTACGCGTCAACAGACGGAAAATGCGCGAAAATGGGCCATGCATACATAAAGACAGTACTTATAAATGCTATATAATTGTAACCTCAGTGAATCCTGGAAATGGCATCCAGATGGGCTGGAGTGGTCACAAAATGACCTTTTGCTTGACGGCATCGTTGCCCTTGCCGAAGGTGAGGTGGACGCTGTGCCACGGGTGCTTGAGGTGCTGGACGACAGATGATTGTTTGGTACATAACCATGTCATCTGAGTGTGTCGATGAGCCGTAAAATTGCGTAAACATGGCCGCAAAATGGCCATTTGCCTATCTACGCGCTTTTGCGTGCAAAAGTGCAAACACAAAAATGGTGTCATAAACGTCAATAACAAATCTAGACTGATCTGGCCCCCGTCCTATCTTCCGTGATCTGCCCTAGTTCCCAGGGCAACAAATGTGCTTTTTCTGGATCTTTCCAAATGCCCTTTGCAGTGTGGCAGGCGCATTGATGCCTAAATTCATCAACGGGGCCCGCACGGTGTGCAGAGCTCAGTGCCTCCATCCATTCCCGTCTGGTCCACTTTGCAACGGCGGGGCGCCCGTCCACGCCGTCGCTGCTGGTGGCACCCATGGTGCCGATTCATGTCAGATTGGCACACATAACCCAGATCGCGTTGTTAATCGTCTCCTGGCGTCTGGCGCCCTTGTAAGGTGGCACCTTTCCTGCCGTTGCGCCCTTTCTGTTTCGCTCAGCTGGGGTTGACCTCCTGAGCCACCCGTGCGCGATATGGGCGCCCCTCGAAGCCCGTTGGTCGGCGCGGGTCAGCTCGCCAGTCACTGTCGGCAGCACGTGTGCCGGCAGTGGTGGGACCTACATTGGGGTGGGGTGGCGTGGGGTAGGGTGGGCTGGGCTTGCCTGAGGGCAGGATTCATTCGTTTGAGGGCAAGATTCGTCTGTTTGAGGTTGGTTTCAGTTCTATGCCGCTTGCAGTTCAAGGATGGTTGGGATGCAAATTATAGTGAGCAATGTTGGAAAAAGCCCAAAACGGCATAAACTACAATAAATAGAAATATGAAATATAGTAATATAGTATGTAAACAAAATGGCATAAAGCTACTAGGTTCAGTCGCTCACGGCCAGTCCTGAGCGTACCTACAAGTGATGGTGGTGCGGGGGGGGAGGGGGGGGAGATGGGATAGGAACAATAACTCAACGAATGAAGGGGAAGAAAATCGAAACACATATGAATATTGTACTTAACTAGCTCTTACTAGGAAAGGGAAAATCAATGACATATAAGTCGAAAACAGTGCCTGGAAATCCAGTGACACCCTCAAGACGGTAGGCGGCTTCGAAAACGAAAAGTTTCAAAGGCAGGCAAGAGCGTTGTGACGCTAGCTACAAGTCGCGCCTTGTCACTGCGCATGGGAAAGAGAGGCGCCTCTCCAAGAACGCTCTGGGGAGACAGCAACAAGTTCCCTGTGGGTGGTTAAAAAGTAGGGAAGTTGCTCGGGAGGGGCTACCTCCCCAGGGGCGGGGGCCGCAGCCGCGCCGGGAGGGCGAGGGCTGGGTTCAGTGTGTCGGCGGTCCACCCCCGGGATAGATTTGGCCCTGGGTGGCTGTCGCCGGTGGGCCCGGGTCAGCCCCCAGCAGGTTTCTTTGTAGGGGAGTGATTTAAACTGTGGTGAGATACGGATGTGCTCCAATTTAAGGAAGATTCAAAACCTTGATGTAGATGACACGTCATATAGTCATACAACGCTGCCAACTTGGAAGTGTAGGCTTCTTAGACGTATCCAAGTACGTATGTTGAAAAGAAGCAAACAACATCAACATGACAACACCCAACCAGGGCAGCGCAAGAAAGGGAAGCTAAGGGCGCTAAGTACTGTATGAGTACAAAAGCTCGCCCAGTTGCTCGACCGCGAAATGCGCGAACTTTTTTTCCCGCGCGAGCTTTTTTACTATACAGTAAACGACCTGAACCGAACCTTAAGCGACACCACGCGGTTCTTAATGGCTGTTTTCAGCATTGCTCACCACAGAGTGTCTCCCAAGAACCCTAGAATACCAAACAGCCATCCGATCCACCCTCTGGGGCAATGCCGACGACAGCGTCTGCACGAGCCTGAGCGCTCTCCACAAGAGCCTCCCACCGACCCACCCTGCCCACCCAGCCCCCCTACGCCTCCAGCCGTGGGCGAGCGCCCCCGGGGGGGGCGGCGATCGGCCATCGGCGATGGCCGCCAGGCTGTGGGCCCTGCGGATGGGAGGCGCCGCGGCGCTGGCGGCCGCCGCTTCCGGTGGCGCCGGCGCCGTGCTGTGCGACAAGGACCCGCCGCCGTACCTGGATCCCGAGGCGTGGGAGCGGGCGGCCAAGGCGCTGCGAGACATCAATGCGCAGCCCAATGCCAAGAAGGTGGGCAGCCTGATGGGCGCCGCGCGTTCTCGTTACCCATTGCTTGTTTGGCCTTTGTTGCACTCCAAGAGAAAAACGGGCCAGGCGAAGGGCACCCCTGCCTATGCAAGTGTAGGTGAGTTTCTTTTGTGTGCCTATGGGGTTGTCGACTCCAGGGAGCGTTGTGTTTGGCGTGTTGTGGCAGTGGGGTCCGTAATGTGTCCGCAAATGGGGGTTTCTTGTCATGAAGAAAGATGATTTTTCCAGCTGGTGCCCATGGGCGGGCCGCTGTGGGCTGGGAGGATGGAGCGGTGGTTTGGCGGCCCATGGGCGTCGGCGGGTGCTTTTGAACGGCGAATCCCGCGATGGGCGGGAGGGGCATGGACCCAAATGTCTCGGCGTTGGGATGGTATTGGCGGAGCGGTGCTCCGGCGGCGACGCAGTCATGACAATGGCAAGGGTGGCATGGTCCTGTTTGGCGCGGCGCGTTTCAGGTCTTTCCTCCAGAGTATTGCTGGCGGATCATGGTGTCTGTTGGTATCCACAGACTGCCCTTTACCACGAGACGAAAATTTATCGCCCCTCATTGCAAGACTGCTTGTGAAATTCTTCACCATGGTGTGGACGATGGCGTAGAAGTCAATGACTGCAACATAACTGGCTGCGGCACATAGCGGCATGACAGCTGTTGCGATCAGTGCCTTCAGCAATTGGCGTCACCACTGTGTGCCGATTCTGGGTTTGTTGTCCATCAGTATGGCTCGGAAATGCACCAAACAGGTTGAATTGCGATGAATATACAATTGAGCCGCCATTTGCACAGTTAGGCAAGCTGCATAGCCACAATTTTAGATTGTAAGAATCATGTTTGTTGCGTTGCACGGTACACAGGTTGATCGCAATGGTAACAATGGCATCAACAACAGCTCGCAAGCCCAGCAAGACAAGCATTGGGTTGTGCCTGTTTGGCTGACTGTTTTACCAGTGTGCATGGCCAACTGCAGCTGTTGCCCTGCATGCAAGAGAGGAGGATCAGTGTGACAAAAATGACAAACATGCAGAGGGCAGCTCCCACCAGTAAGCAATGGGTATGCCAGGACTTCCCCCCTCCTGGCCCCTGAATTGCAAGCAACTCCAGCCTGCCTCCTCCCCGTCATTGGCACATGTCGACTGTTATCGCTAGCAGTGCTCCTTGCAACGAACTTCTAACAGCATGCTTCTATCACCTTCTGGTGGCAAGAGACCTCAATTCTGCTCACTGCAGCCCTTGTATGACTTTGGCTTGAGTGTTTCCGTGCTGACCGTCGACTCCAACACTGCATGCTGATTGCGGCTCCTGCTTTCAGATTTTTGAACAGCTGAAGCTGGAGGAACTGACAAGAGCACAAGAACAGAAGGCGAAGGAGTCTGAGTTCAAGGCGCAGGCAGTGGCGCTGGCCAAGGTGGGACACTGTTCCTGGGAATCAGATGGTCAGTTACTTTATTATTGCATGCATTGCTGATGGCACTTGTGTTGATTGGATTTGCGGTGTTGATTGTTCTTTGCAAGGCATTGGTTGGTGACAAGCTGTGTGTTTGTTGGGTTGCATTGTTGGGACAGTTGTTGGCGTTGTTGGACTTTGTTCCAATGTGCAAATATCAGGGCCTTGATTGTTAGTTCAGTGGGCTTTGGCAATTCCCACTCCCAATGCCACAGCTGGACGACTGGCCGCAGGTTAATGCGCAGCTGTGCCTCGGTTGCTGTGTTGTGATACTCACTGCCAACGATGTCTGTCAAAGGCCACAAAGTGGTGCTAGACTGTGTGCAATTGAACAAATTGCAAACCTTATTGGCTAGATTGATCATTGTCAAGCAAAGCGCTTTTGTCTGCGTGGCCACATCTTGACCCCAGAATATTGTTCGCACTTTTCAGAAAAATTAAGCCAAGGAACTGTGCATAAGCATCCTTGCTCCGGTATCCCTTGTGTCAACCACAGCTGCAGCTGTAGCTATGTGCCATGACGTCCCTGCCAATTATTTGCTGCCGATTTGCCTAAGCAGCTGATGCACTGATCCATGAGCGATGTGTGCCTGTCTGAATCAAGGAGTACGCCAAGATTCATGAATAGGAAAAGGGAATGTTGTGGATTGACAAGAAATGAATCTCGGGTCAAATAGCATTTGTCAGTATTGCCAGTATTGTCACAGTAATGCCATTGCCAAAGCACATAAATGAAAAAGGGAAGTTAAATGACTGAGCATGCTTAGTAATGGTCGACACGATTATGTGTCAATATCAATATTACTCCCCCAAACCCCCAACATCTACTCCCGCAATCGCTTCAGTGTTGGTGTGCCCAAAGCCCAACAATGAGAAACCCCACAGTGTCATTGGAGGGACTGCATCATGGGCTTATTGTTTGGCTGAACTCCCTAGCAGTGCTTTCCTCTGCCCACATAAGAGGAATGTGATCCCAAGCCCTCCAAAACGTGCAGGAGCAAGAACGCGTGAAGTGGGAAGAGCAGCGTGCAAGCCAGCGTGAGAATGCGCAGCAGCATGCGGAGATCAAGCGCTATGAGGACGACCTTGCCCGGCAGCGGATGAAGAGTGAGCATGAGCTGCAGAGGAAGCGCAATGCCGAGCTGGTGCGCCTGCAGGAGGAGTCGGTGCAGGCGCAGGAGCAGGAGAGGCTGCGGGTGGAGCAGCAGATACAGGCAGAACGGCGGGCAGCCGAGCAGTACAAGGTGATGATGATGAAATTCCATTAGCCCTGTGTCAGCCACCGAGGGCTATGCAGCCACCCAACCGCACAAGGACAATGTGTCCATTGTTTGTCCCAGTGTTTATCTCACTCATGTATTGACTATCTGTCCCTACATTGAGGTACACAATACATCCAAACGAGCAGTACAGGTTTGGCTCGGCTGTGCTGGAGTCAGTTCAGTTGTGCTTAATGCACCATTGTGGTGTTCAGAACAGTGTGTTTGTTGCACTTTGCTTGAAGCGGATTTCATTGCATATTGCTCACACAGCAAGTCAGGTGCAGTAACATTCAAAGTATTGCCGATGTCCTGGATTGTTCACAGCATGCAAGGTAGTTGCATTGTTGTTCAAGTCAGTGGTTGTAATTCGGTGGTCAATGCGCTGTGCTGCATTGTTTTTTAGCACTGCTGCTGTGTTGCATGCCCCTGCCAGTCCAGAATGCCCAGGGCCATTGGCAGCAGAGCATATGGGATAAATTCAATGGAATCGAAAATTTGGGAATGTGGGGGTGGCCAGCACCCCTATGGGTGCAAGTATAGTGGGTTGTTTTGTCATATGCACAGGATATGGCCATTCCAGGTTATTTGTGTGGCTGGCTGGCCTTGGTCCTTTGGTCAGGGAGTATAGAGGGAAGAGCTGTCACATCAGGGGCACAGGACCCAAATTCTGTTTTCACACAGCTGGGAGTGCTTGGGCCTTCGAGATGAGAAGTCAATGAAATCGATGACATCCTTTATTAGTTTTCAGGCTCATGCAGGCCAGAATAAGAGAGCAAGTGTGGGAGAAACAGAGAGCAACTGCTTTAAACTTGCTAGGGGTTGGCCGGATGGGGAGCACGCCTGTGGACACAATGGGCTGTATAGTCCTGGAGATAAGCATCTTCTTCACTGGCTGCAGTGGCTTTGATGGACACAGTTGAACGCAGCCTGGTTGATCAGGTGGTGCATGGGCCGATGAGATAAAAAGTCAATGAAAATCGATGATTCTTGTTTTAATTTTTGAGGCCCACTTTAGTCCTGTCAGGGAGGGGCTGTAGGAGCAGCAGCCATTGCAGTTGTGAAAATGTAGCAGTGTGGCTGTGGAACTTGGAGAAAAAGAGGGACAGGCTGGGGGGAGGGGAACCTGGTTTGCTGCCTTCGTCAAAACGTTGCAAGTCACTGCTCTTCCTTGTACCAACCAATGTGGCAAGGGTTGTGCGACTGTTGGTGAGATGGCCGATGAAAGCAAACTCACTGTTGGTTCTCTGAGAGTTGCATGAGGACGCTGGTCTGCAATTTTGAGGCCATTCATCAACATGTTGTCTTCCTGATGTTGCTACCTCCGAGTGTTAAGGAGTTGATGGAATGGAAAGCATTGGAAAGAATGGAAAGAATTGTAGTATTGAAATTGTGAGGAAACGTTGCCCTTGTAGCTGTTGGACTCTGTGGAGGTGACATTCTGGTATTGCAGGCAGCTCGCCATCGCCAACATGGTTGGAGCGTGCTTTGATAATTGGCTGCCTTGCTCAAGATCACCAGTTGCATCAATCCTTGTGTCATTGGCCAAACAATGCTGAAGCATTCCCCTTGCATAATCAAGGCAATGGCAGGTAGTATCAGGTTTGATGGGCATTGCATGAACCAATGATATGAACTTACCTGGCTTCTCAATGCTTGTTGTCAACTTGATTGCATTGATATGGCCTTGGCCCATGCAGAGTTCAGCAGTCGCTGGTTTCACGGGCAGTGCACAGTCATGGGTCAAGTACTCATTCAGATAATCAGAACAAACAGGCAGTTGCGATTTGCTGGGATTTGTGATCTGCGAGGGCCTGTGTGGAGTTGCTATGTTGAGGCTGAACATTCATTAGCAACAGGAAAGACGTCCAGGGCTTTACATCGATCTACAGGAACACAACAAGGCACAACCTCTCTTCTGTTGTGATGGGCGTGGGACTTGGATTCTTGAATATGAAATACTGTTTTTGAACAAGTAAAGAGCCCTGGTATAGTTGTTGTTGTTTCTACATCAGATTGGTTGCAAATCTGGTAATAGCTCAAGGGCAGTGATTTTCAAACTTTGATACTGGCAGTCAGTCCAGCTTTATGGTGGTAGGCATCTGCACTTGCACCTTTAGGCACCTGGGCTTGGCTTGGCTGCTCCTAAAACGCACAAAAGTACCACCTTCCCAGCTGAATCTCCATTCTGCCATTCCTCCAATTCACTGTCTCAGTTTCATTGAGCTGTCCTGTTCCTTTGTCATGGTGCCTCAGCACTGCAGAGCCGCTCATTCAATGCCTCACTGTTTGGTATTGGCCAGGCAGAGCTGGAGAAGGAGATCCAAAGGGACCGGGCACTCGCCGAGGCAGAGGGCCGAATAAAGGAGCAGCGTGCAAATGAGGACGTCATTCGGCGGCAAACGATCCTACAGTACCAGGAACGCACGAAGATGGTCATCCAAGCCATCGGCGAGGCCTTTGGGCACCTGGGGCGGGGGGCGCTGGCGATAGTGACCGACCGTGACCTGTTGCTGCGGACAGCAGGGCTCAGCAGCCTGCTGCTGCTCGGCTTCTTCAGCACTCGGGAAGCCTCCCGGGTCGTTGGCAGGAGTGTTGAGCGCTGGCTGGGCACACCCAAGTTGGTGAGCACTGTGGCTGTGTGCATGGCTACAAGTTGAGTTGCAGCCAGAGGTCATGTCGTTGAGCTGTGCTATTGGTTTTCACTGGCTTCAGGGTGCACTAACTTCCAATTGGGTGGGAGGGTGCTGTGCTGTGGAGAAGCTGTTTTATGTGGAAGAGCCATAATAACAAAGTAACACCAGAACGGGAGTTGCCATGTACTTTGTTGTGCCACACTATCTTGATTATCTTCCAAGATGGCCACTGTTCATTTGGATGTCAGCACATGGTCTGCTTGTGTAGGGGGGGCAATGCTATTTGCTAGTTTTGCTCTTAAGCATGCTCCCCTCCACCAGCAATATATCAGCGTTGTATTGTTCTTGCTGCAACTGTTGCTCCCATTGTTGTTTGAAGTTGGGTTCAGGGTGCCAGTGTAACTGATGAAGAGACTGGCAGTTCAGTAAAGAATTACAGCAGCATTTGGATGTCCTGCACACCTCTCTTCTCTCTTCCTTTGCCGACGATCTTTGCATGCAGATCCGTGACACTTCAAGACGGCATCTGTGGACCTGGCGCTTCTGGTTCACTGCTGCCACCAAATCTGCTGCAGAGGTCCGAAAGGACTTTCGCGACATCATCCTGCCAGCCCAGCTGCATGACCACGTCCGGGCCCTGGCTGCCGTCACCTCCAACACCAAGCGCCACGGGGCACCCTTCCGCCACATGCTTTTCTATGGTGCTGCAACGCCCTGATCACCCTCCCGCCCTCCCGCCCCCAACCCACCACACGCTGTTTTTTGTAGGTGCTGTGCAGCCACTGGGGGACACTTTATTCAGGGCAGTCCAAGGGACTTGCCATGGGACTCGTGTAGTACTGCTGCAGCATGCAGCCACGTGCAGCCCTCACACAGACAGAATTCCTGTTCGCATCTCATGTTGACCTGCTTTGTCATCAGTTGGATTAAGTCACTTTCGAATTCCTTTGTTATGGATAGTATGGCTGTACATCACTTTGTTGAAAAGGTGTAGTGAATGCGCAGGAGTGCTATCCAAAGCCTACAGAGTATGGTTGTCTTGCAAGGATGCATTATCTATGTTCCGTCCCCATGAACAATGTCATCACAACTGCCTTCACTGTGTTATCAGATTTGTTTCCTTGCATTGATCGGTGTGCTTGATGCCCCTGCATTACTGCCTGCCTGCAGCAATGTACTGTCATCTATATTCGCCCCTTGCTGACCATCCAACACTACACGCCATAGCAGTGCCCAGCACTGATTGTATCAGTGCCATGGACATTCACTGACCACGTTTACGTGCCAGATTGTGCATATCTGAGTTGTTGCAGTTGATTCACACTTTACCTTGATGACATTCTCAGGCAGGCTATGCATCGCTGTGTTTACAGGTCGGGTAATAATTGTTTGTTCTGTTTCAGTGAAGTATTCAGTTTGCTGGTGTGTTTCTACATATTGTGCAGCTGTTCCCTCTGCAAAGCTGCACTGAAAGAAGTTGCGTGAATCGAGCGGCAAAACCATGTCAAACTTGTGTAATTAAGCTGCTCTCCATCTGGATTTGACGATCAAACTGGCCAGCAAGAAGCGGAGAATACATTGGGCATTGAATGTCAAGCTTATTCCCACCTCTGGTGCACCATGTCTAAGATTCCTTGCAGCCATCATCTGCACAACGTTGCTGTGCTGGTCTGTTTTTCATGTGCTGTGACAAAAGCCAACGAAGAAACCTCAATCGAAGTACAAAAATGCTGAAACTCACTCCTATTACTTTGGGCTTTGGTCACGATTCCATCATTTCAGTTTCGTTGCCCTTTGGTAGTGTTTGCTCGTCCCAATATGCTGTACCAGAAAATGGACATTGATAATATTCTTGTCTCTCACAGACCATGATTACATGGCCTTGCTGACAAGGGTCCATGTTGCGTCTCTTCTGACAGGACCCCCTGGCACTGGCAAGACCCTGGTGGCAAGGCGCCTGGCTCACACCTCCGGCCTGGACTACGCCATCATGAGTGGTGGGGATGTGGCACCTTTGGCAGGTGCAGCTGTCACCCAGCTGCATGCCGTGTTCGACTGGGCAGAGCGCAGCCGCAAGGGCCTGCTGCTGTTCATAGACGAAGCAGATGCGTTCTTAGGGCGGCGGAGTGACGTGATGAGCGAGGGCCTGCGGGGGGCGCTTAATGCAATGCTCTTCAGAACGGGGGACCAATCGAAGGACTTTCTGGTGGTGCTGGCCACAAACAGGCCAGGTGAATGGCGAGCTCCAGGAGAGGCTGTGTTGATCAGTTGTTTTTTTTTAGGGACAGGAATGGAATAAATTGGGCCAGTGCCAAGCAAATGATTTGCATCTGTTTCCAATATAGAAGCTGTTGCAGATCTGGCCTGACACGAACAGAGGATTGGGGTGTCTGCAATGGGTAGGCAATCATCAGTGTGTTGACTATCAGTCAGAAAATTAGGTCCTGTATTTCAGCAGTCCAGCATATCGAAGATTGGCTGTGTGACATATGCATTGCAACTTTGTGTCAATGTTCTTCAGTATTATGAGTGTGCTGTTTGGATGCACCAACTATCGCATGGCTTGTGCCCTCCAGGCAAATTGTGTGTTCAAAAAATATGAAGCAAGCAATTGGGCGCTTTGTCTTGCAGGCGATCTGGATGCTGCTGTTCTGGACCGCATCGATGAGGTTTTGGAATTTCCCCTCCCGACAGTCAATGAGAGGAAGGAGATTCTGGATGTGTACCTAAAAAAGTACATTATGCAGGTGCGCTTCACCCAAGTGCATGAATGGGGAGTTGCACATTGCTGTCCATTTCAAGAACAGGACTGTGTAAGGATTCAATGCAGCAAATGATGACAATAGCATTGCACAAATGGTGCATATGCGAGGTGGTAAGAATGGAACATTATTTACTGCCTAATACCAAGCAGTTGTAGAGCATGCATTCTGTTGAACATCGAGAACCTCGCAGGTGTGCATGAAGTTGCCCCTCAACACTTTCTTGTAATGTGGGTACAACAAAGTACCCTTAGCACAAGATATTTAAAGCAATAGCAACAGTTAAATTATAAGAGTAATCTTAAGTTACCAGCCACTCTGTGCAAAAGGATGCTCGTTGTCCCCTGCTCCTGTCCCAACCTCTCCTTATATTTTGCTTAAAGGCTTGGCGAGATGACGGCGTGTGGTCAGCGCGATTGAGGCGACGCTTCCTGGCACTGTTTGGCGGGGGAAAGAAGGCTGTCACCGACAAGATCCGACTGCACGAGGTGACAGAGCCCCTCCTATGGCAAGCGGCAGAGGCGACAGAAGGATTCTCAGGTAGCCATTTCGTTGGACTGTGACTTTCAGGAGAAACATGACGAGCAAGGCCTGGCACACTTTGCAGGAAATGGCTGACATGGGAATTTCCAAGCAAGGTCTGGTCATCATCAGATGCTGGTTATGTACAACACACAGTCACACCATGTACAAGGGTAGCAATTCTTAGATGGCACCTTTCTGCAGATTTGGTGTGGCGCGGTGCACATCTGAAATCCAAACAAGATGATAGGCAGCTTGCATTGCTTTGCGTGTGAGCTATTGTGCAGCGTGCATTTTTTATTCAGTCTGTGGTACCACGCAAATGACAGTGGGGATTGGGAGGTTCAGGCATGTGCACAGAAACTTGAAAGAAATGAATAGTTGAAACAGTCGTTCAGCAGCATGGACACATTGCTGTGCTATAAATAACCGTTCCACATTTTGAACTTCGGGCTTCGTTGTGTAGGGGCTTGTGAGGGGCTTACTCCTCCCCCATTTTGCCGAATCAGTAGGGCCCCAGTATATTTTCCTCCGCACCTCGCTTGCAAGTGGTCAGAAGGGGAGAAAGGGCCTCTAGTTGGCTTGAGGAATTGATACAAGAGTATCCCCCGTTTGAAGGGCTGGCGCATCAAAATTTGGGCATCGCTTGCTCTAGCCATTTCCCTGCCTAATTTTTTCTCTAGAAGAACGTCACTTTGTTGTTTCCAGTACATTGCAACAAGGGACAAGCTCAGTATTGCTGTGCGAACGTGTTGAACACAGCATGGACGCATTGTGCCTTGCTGATGTGTAAATTGAAACAAATGCATTCAAAGCAGATTGTCCCAGAGCGCAATTTGCGCTTGCTTGAGCACAGGGTGTGGCCTCACCCACGTCTCGCCTGTGGCCTGGCCAGGTCGGGAGCTAGCCAAGTTCATGGCCAGCGTTCAGGCGGCCGTGTATGGCACACGCGACGCCACCCTCACCGCTGACATCTTGAACAAGATCCTGCAGTTCAAGGTGAGGGAGCACAACAAGCGCATGGGCTTCCGGGAAAAAAGGGAGGTCTACGTGTAGGCTGTGGGAGTTTTTGGCGCAATTGCTGGGCTGTGGCGGCTTGTAGATACGCTCAGGACAATGGCGAAGGAAAGACATGTGGATGAGGGCGAAGATTTGCCTTCATCCTTTTCCGTTTTGATATGCGGCACATTGCGGATGCACAGCTTTCAGCGAATTTGCTCAGCCACCGGTTGGCCAGCGGTTGGTAATCGATGTCGCCATCCCCCACAGCTCTCCAGGCGGCTGAAACGCAGACCGAATTTAGCGGAGGTGTATTTGTCTTTCAACACGGGGAGCATGTCGCTGTGACTGGTTGGGAACACATTTTGGGATAGGAAGCCCGATTCACGGCTGGCTTGGGGCGGAGAGTACGCGGACGCAAGTGGGCACAAGTGGATGGGCTGTGGGGAGGCCCGGTTTTGACCGTGATGTGGGAGTGCCATTGGCCAGCTGGATGGCGAAGAGGGGCACGCCGTGGCGCTTGGGGCGGGGCCACAGGAATCTAGCGGGGCAGCAATTGAGGAGATGAGATTTGCGGACGGCAATGTGTCGACGTTAGGCTGGCTATTTTGGACACTTAAAGATGGGAAGGCGCAGTCGGCTGGGGCTCGTGTGTGCGGCATTCGTTCAGGGATTGAGTCGATCAGCAGAAGCAACAGATCGGGGATTATTTATGTATCTGCATGTGCATGGTGTACACGTACATAGCAAGCGTCGGTATGCACTGGACCGTGTCCACCACGTTGCAGACCATGTGGCTCAGTACATTGCAGCCGTAGTGAGCGAAAGGCAGCTTCAGGCGCTTGGCGGGCTTCCCTAAAAGTTTGCACCAAGCCATACAGCGTTCGTTCATGGCACTGAAGATCAGGTCCGCTGCAACTGAGGCCAGACGCCCTGGTGTCAAATACAACATCTGTCACAGAAGTCTTGTTTGCCATCCAATTGGCCCATACGAAGGTAAAAACGTGCGAGTCAGAGATTTTGGCCAGTTCAACTTTGATGTGCCTCATTGAGGGCTACCCATAGAGCTCTGAAATGTAGCAACAACACGACATTCTTGCTATTCTGTATTGCGAACCACGGCGCGTGCCTCTGCAAGTGCTTGCTGGGCTGGCTTAGACGTGTGGCAAGTTTTTTTTTTGCCAAGTAGAGATTCCTTCTGAGACAACATTCAACTCAAGAGTAGGAATCTCTGTTCAAGTCGTACAAGGTCCAGAGATGTACAGTGAGACAAAAGTGGCCGCATTGTCCCCCACAATGCAAGCCCTGTGAACAGGTTTATCGCCTCCGTGCGGTTACACAGGCGTCGTCAGCCAACCCGTGCCAGACCTGTGCAGTGCCAGCCGGAGGCAGTTCTTAAACCAGTGACATCTGCTTTTGGCCATTTCCGCATTTTCCAGTCCTCCAAGGCCATTAAGGGTGCGTTGCACATTTGCTGACCCAGTTTCGACTCTCTGTCCCAGCCGAGAGTCGCCACTGCCCACCCCGCTCACCCACCCGTGCAAATTGCACGCTGCAGTCCAACCTCCACATCGAGCGCCCGGAGGCGCGCCCATCGACAACACTGATGCCTGCATTTTCCACGGCCATGACAACTGAAGCATTTCTTCATTTATGGATTTACCGATATGCGCATATTTAAAAACAACTGTCCATCACCTAGTACCGAAGCCTCCAGTGGACTCGCCAGTACCACCAGTATATCACCAGTACCAACGGTTGGTACTAGTTGGTACGGCGTTGCGGCCGAGCTGGCCCAAACCCAGTACACAAAAGACAATTCCCTTTGCAAATATTGACATCAGAGTCAGATCCACAACTCACTGGGGTTATAATCGGTCATAATGGGACCCCGAAGCGCTGAACCGACAGTGCAAGGAAAGCACCATCATACCTGGAGCTCGCTGCGCTCCAACGGTCCCCGTGTTTCAAGAAAAACGCATATTCATGGAGAACTCAGGCGAGCGGTTCAAGCAGACAAAAACAAGTCAACCGGCAGTGAAAAATCAAATACTATCTGGCCTCCCTGCATTTCCTCTCTTCCAACGCTTCTCACCTTTGATTTCTAGCCGTTTTGCTTCTTTTATATTTTGGCCAGCCAACCCTCCGTGAGCGATACCGTGCCCCAGAGGGATATGGGAAGGGCCTTTCCATGGTTGATGGCAGACAGCATATCGGTGGGAGACGTTTTGGCCTTCACATGTGACACAATATTGAAACCTGACAGACCTGACCTTGCATGCAAGTAACACCAAGTTAGTGGCGCTAATCCGAACAACACAATGCTTGTGATGAATTACTGCAGACCATCAGACCATGAGCATCAATCCACTGTGTGCACAATGCGACCGTCCATGCGTCCAAAAGGCTTGAAAAAACAACTGAAATTTAGCCGTCCGTTGTCCACAAAACGATAAAACACCGTGTCCAGAGGGTGGAGCCAATCGTATAATCATTCGGGATGCCACCGCAGATGCTACATCACATGTGCGTTGGCGCGACGGCTGAAGCCCCAGCAGGGGGACAGCCTCAACCGGCAGCCGGCCTCAAAAAGCGGCTGGCGCACTTTAAAGGCAGCGATAGAATAACTGCCAAGACTTGTGAAACGGAAGTAGTATCAAGTTTGGGACTTATCAAAGAGCGGTGCTGCGTACGTTTGGGGAAAGGTTGCGAAGAGTTGAAGTGGTGGTCACGTCAGTGTTGCAAAGGCCTTGTGCAACAGTTGCGGAAGCATGTTATGAAGCTTGCAAAAGCATGCTCGAACGTCTTACGAATGGTAGAGTATTGGACGCAGTGGTAATGCGGACGATGTGGACTCCCATGTCTGGACATGACTTGGTAGAGATCAGATCAGATTTGATTGTGCCGCCTCTGTTGAAGCGGGCTGGGGTATTTCGACGTGGCTGCCGTGACATATACGACACCGAAAGATTGGGCTGCCCAATTGCGGGGTGGGTGGGTGGGTGGGTGGGGGGTGGGTGAGGGGTGGGTGGGGGGGATATCCAAAATGACAACAAATTTCGCAGTGGCAAGGCGCCTTGGCGGCGTTCTGAGAGTGTGTGTGTGTCCTTTGCACACAGGTGGTGGCAAGTTGGCCGGCAAATTTGGCTTCACAGCCAAAGGTACACGGATATCGTGCCTCATTCGTGTTTCCATGGGCTCTGGTCTTCGCTGCAATTACTATTGACGCCAAAGCGTGAAGGCACCGTTGGTCAGTATGATGTATGGTAAAGAGGCCGTTTTCTGGCTTCAAAGCCACAAGCCGCCATTTCGCAAATGGAACACTGATCCTGTAGAAAACGACGGATGCAAAATAACCAAATTAGTCCCCTGTGAATAGATCTAACCTAAATAGTGTTCTACAGGACAAAAAGCAATAAGTTTGCGACAATACAAAATCATTCGCCACGAACTGCAAATCGTTCATAATCCCTTTTGCACTTACAACACCGAATTTGTTCACCCACCCAAATCCTGTGTGCAAAACTTCGTCAACCAGCCATGTACGTGGTCACATGCATCACCAAAGATACTCATTCAGACACGGGAAAGCAAACGCAGAATATGTGCAGCTGGACATGGCTTCCAATGGCATCGATGCCATTGGGGCAATTCGAGAATTCCACAAATTCCATCCTCGGCCTCTTCGATTGGACTGGCTGCCACGTAATTTTAAAGCGCTATTGCGATTGCCAGAAAAGTGTGCGCTTGAATGCAACATGTAAGGATGTGCTAACGACCTCATAGAACAAACTCGCATGTCATTACCATAATCAAGGTTGCAAACTTGTGTCTGGCAGCTACTCGACGTACACAGCACAATCCTCCAATTGTGTCAGAATAGCTAGCAGCTCTGCGAAACTCCGGCATTCTTCCCAATACAGCATGGAACGTTGTGCCAAGCTATCTGGTAACTCAGTGATATTCGTACATGCTCTCGAATGCAACTCCTCAAGTGTTGTCAATGGCACCAAACTCTCTGGCAGCTGCCTATGTCTCGTACATTCTGCCAGATATGGCTGTCGCAGCTCTGCCAACGCCCCCAAACTGGCAATTTTATGAGATTCGTGTATCCATGCAACGTCAGGCATTGCAGCTGTGCAAGCGACGCTAGGGTAACAACTGCTAGGGTAGCAACTGCTGGATATTCTTGCAAGCCATCAGGCTGAGCAGTGCTCAGTGAGCACACGAAGCTGTGGCAGCGAGCCGATGCTGTCCGGCCACTGCCTCAGTTTCATGCATCTCCCCAGTCTTGGTTCCTGTAGCTTTGCCAGCGACCCCAATTTGTCGGGCAACTGCAGATTCGTGCACCCAACGCAGTCTACCTTGGCAAGCTCTTTCAGCGACCCAAAGCAGTCTGGAAACTTAGTCAGATTTTGCATTCAATCAAATCCAGCGTGGCAAGCTGTGTACACAGGCTGCCCGTCAATTGATGTCCGTCAATTGCGTGAGACTTGTGCACCAGCTCAAACCCAGTTTGGTAAGCTGCACAAGCAACCCCAGGCTGTTTAGCAACTGCGTGAGCTCCGTCCACCTGGTCAAATGTAGGTTGGGTTGATGCCAGCCTAAGCTGTCCAGCAGCTGTTCAAGATTTGCTCATCCACACAAGGATAGGTGCTGCAGCTGTGTCAACGACCCCAAGCTGTCCGGCAACTAAGTGAGATTCAGGCATCGACTCAAAAGTAATTTGGGCAGCTGTTTCCAAGCTGTCTGGCGACTGTGTGAGGTTTTCGCATTCACTCAAATCTAATTCAGAACGTTGCGCCAACAAACCCAGATTATTTGGCAACACCGTGAAATTTCTGCATCCCCCAAGATTCAGCTTGACAAGCCCGACAAGAAAACCCAAGCCTTCTGGTAACTTCGTTATGTTCTGGCAGGATGCAAATCCAGTTCTTGTAGATATGAGATGGAGCTAAACCACTGATATGCGATCCCTACACAATCACCCAGCTGGTCTCGGCACAATGCCATAGAACAAGCAAGTGAGGCAGCCACATCGCCAACAATTCCCTCGCATCATTGCATGATCAACTGCATCAGCTCATCCAAACCAGCCAGCAATTTGATCCCATGACATGCGATCTCGTCAGCATCATTCAAGTCAAGGTGTTCGAGAGCCGTCAAAAGTGCAACGGACTTCATCCCCTTGTCTGTGATTCGCAAGCACCTGTGCAAGTCCAAGAAGTGCAGTCTTTTCATTCCCTCTAACGACCGCAGCCCCCTGTCTGTGATGCCTCAACAATTGGTCAGACTAAGATGCCGTAACAATGTCAGACATGCGAGTGAACACAACCCCTCATCCGTCATGTCACTCACCGGCAAAAATCGAGATGGTCAAGGGAAGTCAACTGGCCCGTTGGCTTCAGCCAATTGTGTGAAGCCCCCTAAAAACCACTCAGATTAGGTGTCCCAGTGACATTGACGTTGCCAAGCATTGTACGCCTCGCACTGCGAATTGTTGCCTTACAACGTGCCTCCTTCCAAGCGTAGTGCCAGGTTGATTGTCATGTCCCTTTTGATTCCGTACTCAGATGCTGTCTTGTTGTTGCCGAGGTCGTTTCCCATCAACAACATTTTGGCAGGCATATAGGGATGCCTGCCAATTCCCCGATCTTCCTTTTGGTCGCTTGGATTCTGTCACACAGGTCAATTTGCAAGATGATGCTTCAGCTTTCAGGAGTACTCACAAAGATTTGAAAGCATCCACGACGTGGTGCATGCCTGTGGGGAAGCCATGTTGGCCTCGAAGGCAGGGCATTCTGTAATATCTCGATCAGCAGCTGCCAGAAACCATGGAGCGCGCAGCATGCTGTCAAGTCTTCATTGCCTTGTGCAAGGGGCATGAAGGTGGCAGAACAGACACTGACAAAGTGCGCTCACGAATATAAAGCACAACATGGCAACAATCACAGTCGCGGAGAATAGTGGCCTTCGCTTTAGCCTGTGCTCTATGTAGCCAACGAGTACAGTATTTACCCGGTATAAGTATCCACCCCCTATTGGTATCCATCCCTTTCTAGGGGTCGAAACCACGTTAGAATCCATGACCCGGTGTCAGTATCTACCCCAAACCTCATCAGAGTAGAAACGAGGGAGGGCGTGGATGTTGGCAAGGGATGTCGGCGGCTATGTCGCGTTGCCCAGCCTGGGCCAAGTCGCGTTTCTTACGATTCGCGCAACGATGATGACGATCGGGTCGGCACGGATGCCGCTGAGTGAGAACTTGGCAGGATCACCGTGAAAGGCTGCGGGTTGAGAGGCTGCCGTTGGGGCTCTTAGCACAGAATCGCCGGGCGGCGACCGACACTTTGCATTGCCAATCCTGCGTTCTGCGCATGTGAAACTTTGACATGCCCACCCCGTCAGGGATCTGTCGTGATCTGGGCGGTGCATGCCGCAACACTTGCGTGTGTTGTAATCTGCAACTTGCAAACGTGCCCACATTGGCACCTGACACCAGTCGTAAGGTCTGCACCAATTTGTACCAGTGTGGCTCCTGCTGCGCCGAGCGCTGAAGCACGCGAGACTGGCGCAGGGGCTCTCTTCTTTTGCAAAGTTTGCCTGGACTTGTGCTTGTTACGCTCGTCAGCAGCACGCAGCAAAACAAGCCCTGGCACCTCAGCAGACGATTTGCTGAGCTGGAATCGAGAGCTCGATTCCAACTGGGAGCTCTCCCACACGCAGTTTGGCTCGTTCCGAAATTTCGTATTCATGAAGGCGCCGTACATGCGTGCCTGCATGCGCTGCTGTGGCTCACCGGAACACCGCGGTATATGCAATCGCCCGTCTGTGCGCAGGGAGCGTGCCCAACACCCTGCGAGCATGGGAAAGGATTCGAGGGCTCAGGGCTTGGCAGGGAAGCCAGCCGATGGCTGCATCTCTGCAGACATGTACCTTTCCGACCCAGCTGTCGCAGTGTTGCGCGTTTGCACACATCCACGAAGGTGAAAGCCAGGACAAACCTTCCGGGCGATTAGGATACCAGGCCTCAAGTCTTGCGCTGGGTACATTGATAAATACATTGAATACGAACAGAACCTTGGCCTCTCGGCCACGCCGAGCTCTGTGGGGCCAATCTCCGTACGCAGGCGCCCCGCTCCCTCCATGCTCCAACACAGAACAGGAAGTAAGATTGAAGCTTGTTCAACCATTGCATCGGATAAGCAAACAGATTTTAGACTGGGAGGAATCCGCCCCGCCGCCTGGCTTTCATTCAACCAGCATGGTCGTGTGCCACCACCCAGCCGAGACGTCAGTAATTGGGCCTGCGGCATCCCTCACTCGTCGAACGTCAACGCCGCCCTCAGCGCCCCGCCCCGCTCCCAGCTGTCCATACTCGTCCCAGCCCCACGAGTAGGCCCTCTTCGACCGCGTAAGGGCCACGGTGTGCCTGGCGCCGCAGCACACCTGTGATGGAAAGCGCAACCCTTCAGACAACACTGAGACAAACAATGGGCACATTGTTCTTGTGCGGTTGGGTGGCGTCATAGCCCTCGGTGGCTGACACGCAATTCATGGAATTTCATTATCGTCCTCCTCATCAACCCTTCAGACAAAATCGTGGTGATGCTGCGGCTAGAACTGATTGAGTGTTATAAATAACTGAATGTATGAAAAGATGATGAAGCACTAGGAATTGCATTAAGGATGTTGATGAACGGACTGGGTATAAAGGACAGAACGTCTGTTGTCCTTTTGCCTCGGCTGTAAACCGTTGCCGTGAACTCGAGCCTACGATTCCCTTTCAGGGATCGCCACCCCTCGACCCTGCCTGCCTTCGTCAGTGAGAATCCGAGTCGGCTGTAAATCATATTCATGATCGATCATTGGAGATGCAAGGAAATATCGGAACTTCGCGTCAGAGAGGCGGCGCAGGCGTCGGCACAGGTTGTCGCAGCTCAGTGTGCGATGTGCGGCAAGCGAGAGGGAGGCCACGACCGTTGCAACAAAGGGCATTGGAATCGACAACGCGCCGTGCTTCCCCCTACCGCCAGTTGAGATCTGCGAAGAAAGATCTGCGTTCGATTAGCGCCTGGCGCTGCACACCTTCTGCTGCAGATTTCCCTTGAAACTGCTAGAAATGGACAAATCCTACGTAGTGATAGAGTTGAGTATTATCGAAAGGAACAGGCAGGCACGAAGGCGTCATGCCCGTCCAGGTGAGCCGCTTTGCCAAAAGGATGTCGTCCATGCGAGTCGTCGACATCCGAAATTGCTTCACCGCTTTCTTTGAGGGTTGTCCGCAAGTTTTCGATCGATTCAGGAAAATACACAGCACAGCGACGACACGAGACGCCTCGCAGGAAAGAAGAACGCTACTGGCAGCCAACCCCTTCCCAGCTTGCACGCATCGAAACTTCCAATCAATGGTAATGGCAATCATGGGTGCTGCCCACAAGTTTGCAATGTTGGCCCATCACCGCTGTGGTTGACGTTCAAACGCCGTTCATCATCGACAGAGGTGAACGTTTAGCGCTGGTAATGGATACCGCCACGGTTATTTATCAAACACATACGATCGAACCAGAACATTTGCCAATTCCCCCTGCTCCATCTGACACAACGCCTTGGTCCCATTCAAAGCAGCCATTTGCCTAAGAAGCTGCACAATCGGGCCCCACCCCCAGTGCAACACGACGCTGCACCCAAAGCGCGATGCACCTGACAGGCAGTGTCAGAGCGGCCCAGTCTTCATAAACTGGCACGTTCAAACAACCTTCTTTGCTACTGTCCATCGCGCTGCCTTTCATCGCCAACCAATTGTCTGGGTGCCATCCATGGACCTCACCAAATGCCGCCAAACGAATTCCACCATCTGTCACCCAGCCACTGCAAGGTCACTTTACAGTGTCTGTATTCACGTTCTTTCATCTGCATACACGGAAGCAGTACAAGGAAGCCTTGCCTTTCGGGAAAAGCGAGTGGAAGACATTGCAGTGAGTATTGCATTGGGCTCATCTCTACTTCGCCCAAAAGGGTTGCTCAAACACAGCTTACTGTGCTCATCAAGAATTTCAGAATTTTCAGAATCGTTTGTAAGAAACTCGTATCCAAGTATTGGATTTAAGTTTTGCACAGAACCTGTGCGAAGTGGGCATTTGGTTTGCCTGTGCCACTTGCCTTCACAACGTCCTCGGAATCCAACACGGGACTCTCAAGGAGGGTCGCATGGAAGGCTGAGCGGCCTTCCACCCCAAGTTGGCCTTCGCCATTCGTTCCCCACACATACACTGCCCCTGCATCTGTGCACAATGGCAACTGTTGAAAGAACCAGGTATCCCCCTCACAAGAATGGCATCCCCTCACAAACACCCATGTTTGGGCTCCTTTCAGCAATTCGCTGGCATCTGTCTGATTTTGATTCCACCCTCCCAAGGAGGTCAAGACCAGCAGCAAGGCATGCTACAGTGGGTACCATGAAAGCAATGCAGCATGCAAGCACCGGGCATCTGCATCCAAATGGTCTGCCCAGAAGCTCAATATCATTGGTGAGCTACAGGGCAGTGGGCACATTTCACAGCCAAAACCAAACAACGTCTGTGTGTGTCAGATGCACCCAGACACGCTGTGTCTCCATTGTAAGCACCACCCGAAGGGATGGGTGTCTGGCCCCAAGACAACTGCCCACATTAAGTTTGACACCTGGGAGAGTTGTGAACCTTTCATGACGAAATAATGCAGCATTTTACCCATGCATTACTTGATTGAGATTGTGCTCTGGGCATACATGACACTGCATCCAAAGGAATTGTGGCATCATGTCACGGTCAAGCATGTCACAAATATGCGCCATAGTAGTGGCATGCTTCAACCTTGCTTGGACCACTCTGACACAATGGAACAGCATTGCAGCATTTTCAACTGGTAATCGAGCTGAAAGCCACCGATATTTGCCAAAGTGCCTACAGCAAGGGCTATCAGCACCTCCATGTGCACCAAACACTTCACCATTCATGAAAATGCTCCACCAGTCTTACATTTCACACATCGATTTGTTTGTTTTTCAAAGCAACAATGCTGTGCTTGTGCTTGCCTGTGCACGCAGTGGTGTGCCCAAGGCCTGCTCCAACGTGCGTGACCATCAGTCCACCTAGGTCAGCCACAATTGTTGGAGATAGGACATCTGATGTGGAGCCTTGGCCGCACTGGCCGTACAACGACCAACCCCAACACGACACTTGGCCATCTGCCAACAGAGCCACGCTGTGCCGGATCCCACAGGCCACCTGCAGTGCTGAACATGCCCATTTTGGAAGCACTGATGCAAAATGGTCCAAGAAGGCACAGGTATCACCATTTGCCTTGGACCCCCACTAATGAATGAGACATTGCTGAAACATACATTTCAGCAGTGTAGCATGGGGTAAACACGGACTGAAACTGTGCGGAAGGGGTGGCTGTTGCCAGCCCCAACTTTGTCGAATATCAATGATGTTTTCCACACAGATAATGATGAATTGATACACAAATCACTTGATGCAATGGTTATGCAGTCTGGCATTGTGTTGCTGGCCTTGTTGCAGCACCTTGTTGCCCCCACAGTTTTTTTTTCACAGCACATTTGCACATGTGGTGATGAACTTGAGAGAAAGAGTAAATGCCAGAATGTCATTTTGTGTTGGCGGTGTACAGGCACATGGCAGGGGGTGAACGTATGAATTAATACCAAACTCAAACTTAGCCAAGGTGCACGTGCCAGAAGACAAGTGTGCGTACAGTTCCAGAAAAGAGAGACCAGCCAGTTGACACATGATTTGCAGCAGTCGCTGCTGTCCATGACAGTGCAGACTTCCAAAATGATTTGTAGACAACAACAGATGTATGGATGACATGGCAGTTGTCATCCAAGGCTTGCCTGCTTGCATGGCTGGCAACCATGGGGGCTGCTTGCGTCTGGCACCAGGACGCACTGTGGGCAGCTGGTGTTGTCCCTCCTGCCTGTGCCAAGCTGCCCATTCGCTCCGCAGCCCCAGGACCAAACCATTCCACCAGCTGCCAATGCAAGGACGTGGCCTTCCCCTGCCGCAATCTCCTCAACCTTCACACCCTCAGCCAGCAATCCCCACTTTTGTGGGCGATCTGCGTAGTCCCTGTGGTGCAAAGCCTGGCTGTCAAGTGAATTGCATTTCTGAATTTCGTTCAAACCACACACAACGTCAAGCAGTGGGCAACCCTTCCTGAATAGGAACTGGTGGTGTATTTGCAGGGTTATTTTCATTCAGATCCCCTGCTTGGCGGGAGGTTTTGGGCTGAAGATGTTTTCATTGCTGCACTGGCCTTTGCAGCACATCAGCCCATTCAGTACATGCTGATGGGCAACAATGGACCGTACAACTCTTGCACTGCAGGTTGAATGCAAGGACTGTTGGTTAAATTCAATAGCAACTGACCAGCCCTTTCCATGTGTAGGGTCATGCGCATCGACATCAACAGCAATGAAATCGAGCCCTGTTTGCGCAGATGGTTGGTGGTGGCGAACATGGGGAAAAAAGGTGTTGATTGCCTTGTGAAAACACATACATGAACGCCAGTCCATACATGGCACCCAAACAGCAGTATAGCAAGGGGAAGTTCGTTCTCCACTCATGCTGGACCTGCTGTTTGGTCTCTCTGGATAAATTCTCCTCTGGGAAAGCAACTGTTGGGGTCACTGAGAGCCCATTGAATTACCAAAAGTGGCTTGTCGTTCCAACTAGCCTGAATATGGTCGATATGTTCGTGGCAGCTCCCACACTTCAAGTCACAAATGTGAAGCACTTCAATCGCAACCGAACACATATATATAGCTGCGCTTTCAGCATGGGCTCTGAGTGCATCCAAAAGGCAAACAGACAATCAGTGCAGTGCTACGGAATGGAGACAACAGGTATAGGTCAACCATTCGCTCTGCATTCACTGGAAAGACATCTGAGAGTCCTCTAACCCCCAGTCTCCTCTGTCTGACACCTTCCATTGGATTCAAGGGGCTGAAACCCAGGCAGGGGTTTGGGGCTTCGGCTTTTGGTCACCAGCACTTTCGATTTCAGGGTTCATGGGTCCACGAGTGCCTACCCGTCGCAATGCCAAGCCAGGATAACCGGCTAACCCCGCGGATTTCCTGTTGTTGTAAGGGCTCTGTCCCACAGACAGGGCAAGAATATTCACGTGTAGCTGCAGCTCCTGGACCCCGCTCATGTCTCAGAGTTGCAGGAAGGGTGAAGTCGGGCGCGGACAAGGATCGCATTCGTACTGGGAGCACCCGGATAACCTGGATAAAATGCAGTCTCGATTTTTGTCACTTTATTGTCTCCCCATTGTCTCTTTGTTGTCGCTATTACCACTAATCTCCATTGTATTGCAACTCCCCTGCCACCTGATGACCACTCCACACCCTCGCCATCTGAGCCAATCAAGAACCGCGCTCACATGCCTTCCGCGGCCTCATCACCCCAGCTCCCACGCGCCACCTGGCCGCATCCGTTCCAGCCCCATGCCACCACGCCGCCGTCGTGATCGGCGCCCACCACGAAGTCCCAGCCCAGCGCCGCGCACGCCAGCCCGGCCACCATTCCTGCCGGCCGTGCGAGTTCATTTTCGGTGCCCGAACCATCCCAGATCAACAGCGAGCCGCTCGATCGGAGCGCCGCGCAGACGCCCCAGCCGCCAGCGCAGAGGACGGGCGCCGGGTCGTGGAGTTCGATCGCCGTGGGCGTCTCCGGAGCGTCGTGCAGGTAGCCGGACACGACAAGCATGGGAGTCGAAACTAAAGGGGGCACGAGAGAGCATTGTCCCCAAGTTGAAGTGCGGATGGTCAAGAGGATGTACATTAGAGATGTCTTACTTGGAATCGAACCGGGTACAGTAGTTGTCCCTATATAGCGCCCCCCTAATAGCCCCCCCGGCCCCCAATAGCGCCCCCTTTTTGGCTTGTCACCATTTTTTAGTGCTTTATGCAGCTTCGCTGCGCAGAGGGGCCTCAAGCTACTATTGCGGCAACCAAGCACACCCAAGAGAGGTGTCTGATGGATGGATGGTGCGGTTGCTGTCTATTTCTGTGAACTTGGTATATCCCGGATGGGCGGACGGCATGTCTGGTGCATCCATTGTGGGGCCCGGGCCAAAGGTCTCCCCAGGAGGCCAGGGTAGTTGTGCGTTCCGTGACGGATCTCCATCTATGCATAGCGAAGTGGGCACTGCCTGCCTGGGCTCCTTATAGCTAGCGGAATGGAGGGATAGGGAAGGGTGCCCAATGCCACGGTGTCCCCTTTTTCAATACGCAAATTGCTGCAGAATCTAGGGCCAATAGAGGCCATCTCACAAACGAGCATTCTGCGCAAGCCTTACCCTTGCCTCTCAGGGTTGGTAGGTGTTACGAATAGGATGTGGGTGTGGGGTTCCTGCCCTCTTTGAGCCGCGGACCCGCCTCGCCGGGCACCTAGGTCCTTACAGGGCACCTAGGCGGGACCACCCCTCCTACTCCCGCATCCTAATATGGATAAAGGTTACAGTGGGTGAGGAATAGTACGTGCCTTGGGCAGGGCGTCCCCCACACCAAGGGCCGTTAGTAGGACGTCTCCCACATCAGGCTGGTGCGCGTAACATTCATCCCCCTCAGGGAGAGGGGCGTCCTCGTCCCAGTATAAGTGAATACGGGAGCAGAAACATTGTATGTATGTTGGTGGAACTGGCTGTGCGATTTGCCACATGCCCAGTTAACAAAACACAACACACAAAACAGCTTTGGATGAAGAGAAAGAGTGGTTGTTTTACATGACCGTCCCGGCCTTCACAACCCTCATTAAAACTCTTCCTCAGCCAAGTGGCTGGAAATGTTTGACCTCCCGGCCTTTCATCGGCGACCATGATGCCGAGTACCACCAGAAGCCCACGCCGGTACAGATCGGCCCGGTGCGGCACCCCGCCGTCGCCCACGTCCGCGTGCACGCTCAGGCGCACGGGGAAATGGCACGTAGGGGTCGGCGGTCTCCAACCTCTCCCCGTTGAGGATCGCAACGGACATGGCGTTCATGTGTCCAAACCGCGACCTTGCACGGGGGGCAGTATACCCAGTGTTTTTCTGGGCCCAGCGCAAGAGAACCTGTCAAAAGCATAAGCACACATGAGCATGTTTCAGTATGTACATCCCGTACTTCATGCAGTTTGCATTCGCATCACAGGTGTTCTGCCATTTTCAAATGCTTAAACCAATTCCTGTGCATTTGCAACTGACTTTGCTGATTCCCAGCTGTTATGCTCATGTCCATATCCCAGCCATTTGACAAGGTACTCAACATAGTTTTTGCGTCTCCCACGCTTTTTAATCCTTTTATCAAGGATACGTTCAACTTCATACCCCAGTTCACCTTCGATCTCGATAGGTACTGGGGGTGGCTGTACTCTGCCACTTGCCTTATAAGGCTTAATCTTCGATACATGAAATACTGGATGTATCCTATGCATGCTTTCCGGGAGTTCTAGTCGATATGCGACAGAACCTATCCGGTCGAGGATGGTGAAGGGCCCAATCCACCTCGGTAATAGTTTTCGAGTCCTAGGGTGTTTGAGAGTAATATGCTGTGTCGAAAGGAGGACGTCATCTCCTTTACTAAACGACACCTCTCTTCGATGGCGGTCAGCATGCTTTGACTGCCTATCTCGTGCTTTCTCTAAGCACGCCCTGGCCTCTCTCAGCGCTGATTGGACACGGTGATCAAATCGTGTCACTGCTGGTAATCCCTCCACGAGGGGTATACCGGACTGCCTCAAATAAGGCTATTGTGCCCTTTCAATGGCCACTGCCAAGCCGCGGGCATTTGGATTGTCATAGCCCTTTAAAGGCTTCCGAATTTGCACACCAAGAGCTAAGGGACTCTTTGGGTGCTTCCCATAATTCAGATAGAACGGGGTCTCTTGGGTGGAACTGTTTTCGAGTTGTTCATAGCAAACTCGGCCATGGCTAACAGTTCATCCCACGCGTCATGGTCAGAACGCGTATAGCTGCGTAAGTAGTCCTCCAAAATCCGATTCATGACTTCGGTCTGGCCATCCGTCTGTGGACGGTACGCAGTGCTCATGTTGAGCTGAATCTTCCACCTCTCGGCCAGGTACTGGTAAAACCTGGAAGTGAACCGAACGTCTCTGTTGGACACTATCTGAGAGGGGAGACCGTGGTGCCTTATCACATTCTGCACCAGCAGGTCAGCTACTCCTTCTGCGGAGAGCTCGGTGGTCGTGGCTGCAAGACGGACCATTTTGGTCAGTCTATTGACGAATACGACGATAGCATCATGACCTCCCTTAGTTTTTGGCAGTTGAGTGATGAAGTCCATGGACAATTCGGTCCATGGCTCCCCAGGAATGCCCAATGGCTGTAGTAAGCCTGGGGTCTTTTGGCGAGGATACTTAACCTGTTGACAAACCAGGCAAGTATCGACGTACAACTGTACTTCTCGTCGCATTCCCGGCCACCAGTAATGCCGCTGGACCAAGTCCAGGGTCTTGGCTTGACCAAAGTGTCCCGCACTTGGATGGTCATGAGCCAATTGGCAGATCTCAGTCCGCAGACTGGGAGACTCAGGGATATACACCTGAGTGCCTCGCAGCCACAACCCGTCTGTACAGCGCATATCTTGCTGCTGTCTAACAGACGCAAGCTGGGGATCCTCGCCATAGGCCTGACGGATCCTGGAGGCTAGATCTTTGGCCTCTACCGTTTCAGTTGCCTCTTTTTGGCTGCCCCGCTTATGCTTTACTCTTAAGCCACATACAACTAGTTGACTTTTCCTCTTAGCCTCCTGCTCATCGGGCGATGGAGGAATGCGAGAGAGTGGATCAGCCACATTCTTTCGCCCTGGGCGGTATTCCCAGTCAAAGTCAAACTGTTGTAAGATTTCTGACCACCTGGCCTGTCTGCGGCTCAGTTGTGGTTGTGACTTAAGGTAGGTCAACGGACAGTGGTCCGTTACCAGTTTGAAGCATGTTCCTTCAAGGTAACATCTCCACAACTGGACAGCATGGACCGAAGCTAAAGCTTCCTGGTCTGTCACGCTGTAGTTCAACTCCGCTGGGAGGAACTTTCGACTCGCATAACAAATAGGGTGATTGTCCTGCATCAGGACCGCCCCCACAGCAGTTTGTGAGGCATCGGCGATGACCTCAAATGGTCTCTCAGGATCTGGCATTTTGAGCAAAGGAGCCGTGGTCAAACACTCCTTGATGTGCTCAAATGTTGACTGACATTTCGACGTCCACTCCCACTTGCCATTCTGTTTGGTCAAGTCTGTCAAGGGAGTCGCCATTTTCGAATAGCCCTGAATGAACTTTCGAAAGTAATTTGCCAGTCCGAGGAACTGCTGTACGTGCTTCACGCACTGAGGTACAGGCCAGTTCTTCACCTTTTCAATCCCTTCGGGATCTGGGCGAATTCCTTCTTGAGACACGATGTGTCCCAGGTAGGAGATCTCCTCCTTATTGAACCGACACTTGTGCATTCGACAGTATAACTTTTGCTGTCGTAACACTTCTAACACCTGCCGAAGGTGTTGTATGTGTTCCTCAGCAGTTCGGCTAAACACCAAGATATCGTCCAGGTAAACTAGGACGTGTTTGCCAAGTTGATCACCAAATATATGGTGCATCGTCTGCTGGAATATCGCAGGGGCATTCGCAAGTCCAAAGGGAAGTACTTTGAACTCGTACAAGCCCAATGGCGTAACAAACGCCGTTTTGGCACAATCTGCCTTATCGATCCGTAATTGGTAGTACCCTTGCTGCAAGTCAATAGCCGAGAACACCTTGGCTCCTTGCAGTTGATCCAATAGGGTATCTATTCTCGGGATCGGCCACTTATTCTTGATAGTGGCTTTGTTCAATGCCCGGTAATCAATACACATTCGGAGGCTGCCATCTGGCTTAGGAACGAAAAGTACAGGGGCCCCAAAGGGACTACTGCTTTCCGTAATCAGACCTTTCCTCAACAGGTAATCCACCTGTGATCGGATCTCCTCCATTTCCTTCGGGCTGTACCGGAAAGCTGGTCGCTTAACCGGTTTGGTCCCTTCCTCCAATGGGATAGTTAATGACACTCCTCTGTCTGGAGGTAATCCCTCAGGGAGTTCATCAGGGAACAGATCTTTATACTCCTCCAAGAGGGCTGTGATCTGTGCTGGTGGAACAGCATAAGTTGTGGTCTCCCGACCTGATGTGGCCAAAGGGCCTGGTGCGTCCCCCTCAGGGAGGTCGCCGACCCGGCGAACCAAAACCAAGCGCAAGGGAGAACCACGCTGGTAGGCGCGACGAGCAAAACCCAGCGAACACAAATGACCCAACCGGCGGGCCGGTAAGGAAGGAGAAACAGTGGAACGGGGAGTACTACGAAGAGTAATCTCACGCCCACGAGAAACGACACGGATATGACCACGACGATAATCAATGACACCGGCATGCTCATAGAGCCAATTGTCGCCGAGGATAATGTCATAATCGTCAGAAAGGTCAATGACCAGGCAACGGACTGTGTCCGTGTAGCCTTGAATGGTCAAGGGGACATCGACAACCCCCAAAGATGGGAGGGATGTCCCATCCGCTAAAAGCACTTCACTTTCCATGTGAGGATCATCCACACGTGGAGGTGTGGAGAACTCCGTGGGATCCACAATACGTCGCGTCGCACGTGCCATACGGCGAAGGCGATTAATGCGACGAAGCTGTCGATTAGACAGTGCATGTGGCGAACGGGGCTTTAAGCCTAACC